GTGCCGCGGAGGAGGTCCCGAGAGAAAAGGAGCAGACCCGGCTCTCGCCCTGGTTAAAAATACTCCACTCCCCACAGTTTGAGTAAGTCAAGAGGCGCCCCGAACACCACAAAACTTTCAAAACGGGTCTGTAGGTTTTTTGAAAACAATTTGGAGCAAAAAGAGCTTGGCTTTTGTTCTGTTGTTGAGGCACACAACCACCAAGGCGCCGCCACGAATTTGAACTTATCAGGCAAAGAATTCTACCAGGGCAGGAGCAAGTGGCCTGCGGGGCTCTCCTCCCGGGGAATCTAGTGGAACCCCGGATCGCAAACCGCAACTCGGAGGTTGAACATCTCGGTCCGAGAGAAACCGGTGAAGCACAAGTACAGTGACACACCAGCGTCCAGGAGACCCGGGCGAGGGGCCCCCGAGCCAACCCCACCCCAGTCCCGGGTCCGCCTGCCCTCGGGGTTAGGTTGCTTCTCTCGGATTTTGAAAGGGATCATAGGAACCGAAGAAGGGAAACTGAAGGGGCTGAGAAAGCCTCGAGGGGTAGGTGGCAAGAGGATTGATGGAGGAGGAAGAGTGAGAGACCTCTTTGCACTGATTAGGTAAAATGAATTACAAACAAAAGTTTGGGAACGCTGCTGCCCGGCTTCAGTGTAGCATAATGTATACAAACTTCGGTACGCGTGGATCAGAATAAAACAAAGTGTTGACAATTTCCAGCCTTGGAAATTCACTTACATCCGTCTCTTTCCCCCTCCCCGCCCCCGCCAAGTGTTGACAATAAACATTTAATGAAGGCAGGGACCTGGCTGTCTCCAGTCAGTGTCAGAATACTTTAAGCAGACCATTAGGACGGCTTCTTCCACTTCAAACATCGCGCGCCACAGTCTAACATTATAAACAACAACAACAACAACAACGTGTAAGACAAATAATACGTTTATAAGACTATCTTAAGTGGTCTGCAGTAGTTCTGATACCCCTTAACTTGCCAACAGAAACTAACTCATTGTAGATTACTCGCGCTTAAAAATGTTAAATACAGTTAATGCAATATTAATCGCCCTTTGGTGATATAAAATGCAATATTTTCAGGCAGCTATCGAGCTTTTCTAGAGGAAGAGCTGATGAAAAGAGTCACAGCTGAATAGTGGAGAGAAAAAAGCCCGGTATTTATTGCTTTTGTTTGGCTTTTGGCTACAGAGACAGGAACCTTCTAATGGGGTAAGGACATTTATTTTATCTGCAATCTATTGCCGCGAGAGCAGGGGCGGCAGATGGGGCTGGTGCGATGTTCACAGTGTAATTTAGAGCAAATCCTAATAACTAATAATGATTTATGTTAATTTTGATCACTTATGCGACTTTACCAAAGCGTTGTGATGAAGGAAAGAGGCAGAGAAGCAGAATATGACAAGCTTTGAGGCTGAGATTGGAGCTCAACTGTCCTGCTTTAAATGTGTTTTATGAGTTAGCAATGGAAATACAGGCACTTAAAAAAGCAGGTAGGATCCTTTTGACTCTGGGCAGAGGTATCTCCCGAGGGCTTGCATTTCTTCTGAAAATGTACCTAAATAAGACGAATTGTGACTGCTTTAAGTGGGAGACTTTCACGCCACTTTAAAAATAACAGATGCGTTTCAGTGGTTTCATTTGCTTATATTCAACCAAGGAGTCGCGTGTGTATGAGTGCACTGGTGTGCGTCTCTGGGTGTAGGAGAAGCAAGTGTGTGCCAGGCATCAGCCCGGGGTCTTGCCTTCAAGAGATTAGAAACAAGCTTCGTTAAGAGCCTGTGAGCACGATCTTGTTCTCCTTCGCCACGCCTTATGCAAAAGTTTTATTGCTGGCTGCTTAATCAAGCTGCCATTTCTTAATCTTGCTTCCCTTCTGATATTTGTTTGCTTAGAATCAACTTTTGGAAAGCTTTGCCACCTCCACCTCCCGTCTATCACCTCCCCCAAGGGATCCTCGAGCTTTTAAACTTAAAAGTGCTTCCTCTCTCCAGACCCCCCTGGTAACGTGGCATGGGTTCAGAACCCCAGGGGCTGCCAACGGGACCTAGTTCTGCACGGGAACAGGCGGGTTTTCGGCTGCCACGCAGTGCACTGTAGAGGGTCGGAGCGATTTTGAAAGGGAGGGTGCGCCTTGCTCGTGGCAATTTACTTTTTCGGTTACCTTTTGCACGTTTTAACGCCTCGAGGCGATAGTTTGAAAGTAAAGCAGCATCAAAGCATCTCCTTATTAGCTCTGTGTTTGAGAAACCCAAAGATGAAACTACCTAAAAGGTTTAATAGGGCGTAACAGCATTTATTTGCCAAGCAAACAGTCAGAATACAGTTCAAAAGGGGTACAGTGGTTTATCAGCAGGAGGCTGGAAAAAGAAGGTTGGGTTGAAAGAATTTCAAGCCTCACTTAAGACGTTAAAGTGAATTAAATAAACTTCAAATGGAATGTCTGCGTTGATTTCGAATACCATCTCACAATTTATACAAATGTACATGGTACCTGCATATTTACAGATAATATAACACATATGCATATATATGCATATAGAGACTTTCCCCACCTTTCAGAGTCTTTGAGACTCCGTAAATTTGCAGACTTTGTACAGCAAGAGTTGTTAACCCTCCAGGGATTTGCTCTGCAAATATATCTTTAATCATGCTTTTAAATTAACATTTTCATTACTTTCTTTATGTTTCTTATTTTAAGCCTACAAATGTTAAAATATCTAATTTCTCCTGCCAGGGCAAAATGTCAAGCTACATGATCCAGAGCAGTTTCTTGAATGGCATGCTGCATTTTGTTTTTGCATTTGGACCATCTCTAGCAATAAATGTACTGTTATTGCACTGTTAGTGTTCTCAGATAAAGAGGACTTTAAACAAAATAAATCTTTAAACAAAATAAATCCAGGCAGCTGACGTTGCCTGTTTACCGATAATACTCAGGAGCTGGTGCGTGTTTGTGAGCTTGAAGCTGTGTCTCCACGTGCATATCCATCTACAAACAGATGTAAGCACATTTTTTACTGTTGTTGTGAAATGTAAGTCTTTCTTTCTAAACTCTATTCTAGTACAGCCCCAGTGTTTCTGCACCAGAAGCTACTCCCTTAAAATTGAAGAGTGGTGCATTATTGAAACTCTCTATCAAACAGCTCTGGGTGCAGCCTTTCTGAAATCGCAGACTCTCGATGAGGTCTGACTGTCTGACGGCACATAAGCCCCTAATATGTTAATGGCCGTAGGGGATGCCTAAGGTACTATCTCAAGCTGCTTCGCACACCATATGTCAGGCCGTTAGCCACATGGATCTATTAATCAAAAAGAGCTGGCGAGGGTCTTCGAAAAGGGGAGAATGGGAACAGAGGGGGAGGGGGAAATAGAAAGAAAAGCTTTTAAACCCCCCCACCATTCTCATTTCTTTCATAAAAAAAAGTATAAAAAATTGCTAACGATGACTCAACCAAATACAGATTTCCTTTTTGTCAAGTTAAAGACTGCTCACATACTTCTAGTAAAAAAAAAAAAAAATTGAAATAATATCTGGCTCAATTAAAATAGAATGAGATTTTACCTGGTGGGTACTGTTTAGGGTTCCTTGATTGCAAAACTTTTATAAGCAAGATTCTACATAGAAAAATGTTTCTACTATGTTTGTTGTTTTTTGTAGATGAGTTTTATTAAAAGTACTGGGGGGGGGAATGGAACAAATGTGTGTTTAGGGGAGGTGGGGGGCATGGAGGGAGGTGCCTGGGGGATTTGTGATGAATATATAATTTATTAATATATATCTGCACAGTGTAGTTTTCATCACCTTCAGTTTTTCTGATAGTAAATGTAAAGTGTTCACATTTTTTTTTCTTTCCCATAAACTGGCTTTGTGATAAATAAAACTAATCTGCAGGGTGCAAAAAGTATTTAATTCTTTTAGGAAGAGAGGAAATGAGAAAGCATTTATTTCCCCCATCTTTTACATTTCTGCTTTGTTTAAAAGTATCTATTATCCTGGATTAAAAAAAATTGTTTGGAATTTAAAGATAAATAGTTTGGAATTAAATAGCTTGGATTTAAAGATAAATAGTTTGAAAAGTTTGCACAATCTTAGAAATATGTTCTCAAATGAAAATGGTATAAATATGTATATAAGAAAAAATTTAGGTTCATTTCTGAAATGGTGATAAATTTGTCATGTGTTATAATCTCATCATTTTTAGAGAAATGTAATGAAGGGCTGATTTAAAAATACCAGAAGCAAAAGAATAAAAAAAATATGTAGGCACTTAGATTTTAAAGTTGTATTTTTTCATGTGTAGTATTACCTGAGGATGGAGAAAATGTGAAATGCAATGTCAATTTGGGTACATTATTATTGTAATTGGTAGTCAGTCATGAATCATATGAAGACTTAATTTCTGGTTGTCAATTTTAAGTTTTATAATATATAATTAATGATAAAATTTAGGAAAGAATACTCTTGAAATTCATTTTTAATACTGCCATGATTGGTAGGCATGGTTTTTAATAGTGTCATGATTAGTAGACTTATACTGCAGTAGCTGATTTATAGGCTAGTGGAATGACTGAAAACTTTATTGATCTTAGGTTTACATACACACACACACACATACACACCAGAAATGATTGACTCCTTACATATGAGAACACAGATTCTCCATGCCACAATACATTTGTCATTAACATAGATTCATTGGAGTCTATTATATTGGATATATAAAAGAGAAAGAAAGCTAAAATATCCTTATTTGTGACTCAAAAATACATTAAGGAATATAATTATTGAAATTGTGCTAAGTGATTAAAAATTATGTTACACTATTTATAGTATATAGGTGAAGTTCTTTGTAGTGTGTATCATATTAGTTTATAAAATATTCTTTATTTTCACAAAGGCATCAATTTGTGTTTATACAGAAATGCATTCATAGTTACAAGGAGAGTTTAACATTGGTTGACACCTTTAACTAAAAATATCAACATTATGTTAGAATATTTGGTTTGACTAGAAAGTCATCTGTGACTCTTTTAGTAAATACATTCAAAACAGATAATTGTATTGTAGAGAACAGCAGTCAATCTGTAAATATGAGAGGTTCCAAAGCATTATATTTCATCCAGGAGATGATGAATACATAAAGACAGAATCATCTTGAATTCCAAGAGTAGCTAGGTAGAAACACTTATTATCTTTAAATTTTGGTGCATGCAACTAGCCTTCATTTCTTTCTCTGTAGTTAAAAGGTAGCCCATATATCTGTCGCTTTGGGTTTCCAAAGACTCGTAACTTAATTCCTTCAGGCTATTCATCAGCACAGTAATTAAACTAGCAAATGGATGTAAATAAAGTGAAATTGGTTTCATGACAGATGAGGCGAAGAGGCCTCTGACATGAAACAAGGCAGGACAATAATGATTTCTCGGCAGCATTGGGCAATGGAAGGGACCCCAGCTGGATTTATTAGGTGCTGCAAGTGATTTGCTGGAAGCGGGCAAGACATGAACCCTCTTTAATTTGACAGAAATTTTGCATCCTAAAGAGCATGCTGAAATATAAGTCTAGAAACAAGTTCAGACAAACTGTAAACAGATGCACTATTGGACTAAAGGTGTTATTTAGTGTTTGAAAGAAGGAAAAAAGTGCAACCCTTCCAGAAAGAGGAAGGGCTTCAGTTGCACAACTTTGTAGCCCTGGGGGATGGCAAAATAATCACAAAACATTTCATTCTACTTATGAATTCTGTTCCTACTTAGGCTAGTAATTTTGTATTTTCAGTTTTATTTACTAGAAAAGCAAGTAATACAATAGGTGACTAGAAAAATAGCAGGCCATATGAAAACACCAGAAGAAATTGTGGGCACACACGTACCTGGGGTGGGGGTGGAACCTGGATGGGCAACTCACTTACAGAGTGAATTTGACACTGCACTTATATAAAATCGGGGATGAAGATCTGGTACCAGTTTATTGCCTTTAGCAATCTATGTCTTGCTATCCAGAAAGCAAATTTCCAGTTGCAAAGAGAAATGTCTAAAGCCCTTGATCAACTGAAGCCTTAACATCAAATATGTATTTGTCCTTGCAAAATAAGCAGTTACATAGACTGAGGGGAACTAAATTATAGCCGACAATAGAGGAATAAGAAAAGGGCCAGGTGGAAGAATGGAGTTCTTGACTGACTCAATAAGACTTAAATGGAAATTGA